AAAAAAATGTTTTGCATTTAGAGGTGGCCCACACCTGTAACCCGAGCTCTCAGGAGATGGAGGTGGGAAGAGTTCAGGGCTATCCATGAATATATCAAGAGTTCAAAGCCAGTCTGGGCTATGAGAGCCTACTTTAAAAGCAAACAAAATGTTTTGTGCGCACCTACAGCTAAATCACTTTGCTTTCTCCTAAAATTTTAGGAATGTGTGTTTTAGGAAGATTTTCCCTGATGTAAGATGGCTTCCCTTCCACACACCCAGGATGGGAGGGCTCCTAGTAAGAATGAGCCTGTAAAGTCTTAGCCCAGATTTCAAAGTGGGGTCTGTGCACTTTGGCCACTATGCTCTCCTGTCTTCAACTTAACATCTTGGCATCTACCCCACAATACAGCTCTGGTTGTAAGGAGCTGAATTTTCCATCCAAGAAAACCATTACTTTCTAGCACATCCACACAGAGCCTCACAGCCCCATAAGCTACAACCAGTAAACACAAGCACTACATAGTTCACAGTATTTTTCCAGTAAAAAGCATGATTCTATGTAAGCTGGAATGACAGAAGAAAATGTATTGTTTTCATCATTTAAGAAAACTTGCATAAATTAATTGAAGGAAGCCAAAGAATTTAATTGAGGCTTGTGTCCCCTCAGTATATTCAGTATGAATACAAAAATAATTTAGTCTTTAAAACACATTTTCATGAAATACTATCTCCTTCAAAGAACCACATGCTTCCCTCTGTCACCCCAGCACCCCAACTGTAACTCTGCCATGAGCAACATGCGAGGTCGCTGAAATCTTACTTTCGCTGTACTGTTTTTAACATTCCCTTGCCAAACTTTTTTGACAAACTCCCCCCGGAAGGCATGGTATAAAGTTCTTGTTCACAGGATCCGGACCCATAACACAGTAGGCTACAGGAAATAAACAGCTTTCAGAAGCCAGCATACAGAAATGATTGTTTTTAGCAACCCATGTGGACTAACCAAGTAATTAAAAGAAAGCCACAATTCAACAAATGCTATGTGGGACCTAACACATGCCATCAAGTTAGAGAGAACAGGTTAGTGACAGGCCTGTTCTGGAACTGCCTGTGTGAGGGGAAAGGTGAGCAAAGGTGGTGTTCAAACACAGCTGAGGGGATCTTACCCAGACCGGATGGGAGGAGAGTATGAGGAGCCAGAAAAGGCCTCCTGGAGGCAGGATCATCACCTAAGAATGAGGAGGCATCAATAAATACCACAGACAAACACAAGGGCTGGTGCTGAGCAACAGAATGCTGAGGAGAGGCTTGGGGCCCGAGCCCAGGACTGCCTCTGCAGCAAGGACCTGACCACGACCAGGTCCCCCCACTTCAACGGGCCTCATTTTTCCTTATGACACGGGATAACCAGTTAGGTCAGTTAGTCAGTTGGCCAGACTCTTGCTGTGGATTAGAATCTCCTGGGAGCTTTGCAGACATCCGACTCCCTCTTCTGAAATGTGGTTTTACTGCCTAGGCACCCGTGCATCTTCAAAAACTCCAGATGATGCCAGAAGTAACCACGACTGAGATCCATCGCCCCATGAGACAACCTTGCAAGGCACCTCAGCCTTGATGCCCAGGAATACCTCTGGGGAGCTTTCTAAAAGTCTAGTATAGACTGCATCCCACACGATTAAACCAGGACCTCTGGGGGTGGGGCTCAGGTAGCAGCAATCTGAACACTTCCAGGCTGATACCAAGCTGACCCAAGGGTGACATGCACTGTTCTGGGTCCACTTAGTACTTCATTTTCCATTACAGCCAGTGATGTTTGGGAAAAGGAAGGAAGGAGAAGCTGGTGTCTCCCTCCCTCGCTCCCGTCAAATTAAAGAAAACCGAATGACAGAGGCCAAAGTGAGTTTTAAATGAGTTTGCACACAGTAGTTCATTTCACAAGTGTCATGTCGGTGCGTGACAGGTGGGACTGGTCCACGCCAAACTGCCCTGGTTCTGAATTTAAAGCCCGATGGAATGCTCATATAACAAGGACTCCAAGCGTGCACTCTGCAATGCTTGGTCAGAGTGGTATTTGCATGGCTGACTGTAACATGAACATTGCATTTCTTACCCCTGAGGTTACTTAAGTCCACTTATTAGGCACTGTTGAACCAAACAACAGTAATTAGAAACACTGTAAACCTGCCTTTTAAATCTATTGCTAAATTACAATTTTCTGCATCCAATCCATGCATACAGCGCGTCCACAGCATCACGAAATCAAAGCCGTAGAAATACTAACACTAAAGGAACATAAAGCCACCTCGGTGCCCTCCTGGGGATTCCACCGGCGGTGAAGAGAGCTGCTCTCCGAGGTACTGCTCACAGCTGGGCAAATAGAGCACCGCCCACATGTGGTTAGAGTCCCAGGTGAAAATGAACTCTCCAGGGGCCCAGGAGGGAGGAACAGCTGGAAGAGACAGCCACATTTCCCGAGCGCCGGCCGCATGGCACAACTTAGGAAATACCACCAGGTGATACTTGAGCCTCTGAGGCTGGGGTAGGAGGCCCTGGACCAGGCCAGCCGAGCTAGCCACACACTGCAGTTGGCTTGCAAGTCTGCAAACCCCAGGAGCTGCTTGCCGCCCTGCCCTGGGATCTTAATGAGTGGAAACACCGCTCACGTTCCATTAGAAAGCTGGCCCCTCGAAGGTGCTGGGAGCAGCCATTCTACAAGAAAAGCTGTTTAGCTGAACTAAAAGTGGGCACTCCTGTAGTGACTCAGACAGCCCCTGATTCCTGGACAGGGCTGAGGGCTGAGGGCTGAGATGACCTCCGTGGTTACAGAAAGCTCCTCCCTGCACAGTGTGGGCACGGCCAGGAAAACTGAAGGACCTTTCTCGACAGTTCTAACAAACAATAAACAGGAAGCTAAAGAACAAAGACCGGCTAAGCAAACTGCGTTGGGTTGGCTTTATTAAGCGGCTCACTATGCTTTCCAATCCATCTTGGGTTTTAAAAGGTTCCACTCTAATTTGGGAGTCAGAAGTAGGCGCGGCCCTGGAAACAGCCTAAGTGCACTTATTAGATTGTAACTTACTCACCTAGTGACTAAATTAAAATCTGACACATGCACAATGGACTAATACAGAGCATTTAACAGAGCAGTCTGTGCACAGATAGCTCCCTAGGACAGGTTAGCACAGGGAGAAAACTGCATCCAGCCCCTCTGCAGTAAATGCAGATGCAAATGTAAAGAAATTGCCTGGCAGGGGAATGTCAGGAGCCTGTTATTGTTTCTTAATATCCTTCAATGCAGTTTGAATCACTTTTTGATCGACCTGTCTCCCCACTTTTAATAATAGACATTAACTAGGAAGAGAGCTATTTTTGGTGTCTTCTTCATGCTAATCTTCCATATGTAAATGGAAACAAAACGATGCTATTTTAAATAGGCACTGGGGAGTTGTGACTCCTCCAAACTCCTAACCCTTTACAACAGATGATTAGGTTAACCAGAGGCTATTAAGGTGGAACCTGATCCAGTCAGACCGGCATCCTTTTGAGAAGAAATGTGAGTGGAGAAAGACACACTAGGCGTGTGCACAGAGGGGACAAGTATGGGGACACAGAGGGGCCAGCTGTGCACAAGCAAGAAGGGGCCGCTTCGGAAGAGACACCTTGGCCTTCCAGCCACCAGAACTACGAGACGTAAGTACCCACTGCTTAATAACCCGGTCTGTGACCCTCTCTTATGGCAGCCCTTGCAAATCAATGCTATCGATAAGTATGAGGTGGAGGTCACTCAACTAGCACCATGTGGAGACAGGTACCTGTGGAATTCTGCAGTAGTAGTTGACGCTCAGGACATTTGGTATGTGAACACACTGAGGTTCCTGGTGCTTGACTCGGTCAGGTTCACCTGTAAAGAGACCTTAAGGACTTCCACAGGCTTTCCATTTCCTCCTGCAGGGAGCCTTCTCCTCACACCACCATATTTTGTGTTAGAAATCCCATTTCAAAGGGCTAGATCGCAAGATGCTTCATGTATCAGTGATTCTTAAAAGGTGGCTTATACTCAAAGGACTTCTTCCTGTGCTGATAACAGATGAAGGGGTCACAGTGATATTTATTCATTGTTGGTTTTCTTGTAAGACCTTTAAGACACTTGCTGCCAAGCCTGATGACCCATATTCAATGCCCAGGACTCACATGGTAGAGAGTGAGAACTGACTTTCACAAGTTTTCCTTTAACCTCCACACAGGCAGACACACACACACACACACACACACACACACACACACACACATACATTTTAAAAATATTTATTATTTTATTTTATGTATATGAGTGTATTTCCTGCATGCATGTTAAGTACACCCATGTTGTGCAGTGCTTGCAGAGGACAGAAGAAGAAATCTGATCCCCTGGACTGGAGTTATGGACGGTTGTTAA